TTTCATATTAAAAAAAGAACGTGCAACAAACCGGGATGGCATTTAGGTCAGGGAAACCCCATTGCCCATTAATATGTTCCAATATAGTGTTACGCCCTAGCAATGCGTGTCGGTGTAGCATGTGTTTCACTGTCAGTGTGAAAATAAAATAATCAGACGTCTAATCTGAGTCACTGTCCGAATAAATAACTCGTGGACGTTTAGTTGGGAACACGACAGAACTTGAACTGGACGACTATGATACACAGTTTATGTTCCACCACAGAATTGGCAAACATGCCGTGCATCTGCGGTACTCCACTGCGACTTCGTCGACAGCGGTCGTCACTGAGCTGAGCGCTACAACTTTGTTTGTGATGTTGCTTGCTGATCGTGGATTGAATGAGTCTTGGTTACTGGTTAAAACGTTGTTCATTTGGCGTTGGTAATCTTCATTTTAAACCGAGTAACGCCGCAACGTCACCAACAGAAACCTCTCGCCAGTGGAATCTCGTAGTTGATGGTTGAGGCTCCATAGAAATCGCTGATTTTACTGTGGGTGGATCTTTTGAGAGCCCTTCAAGGCTTATAAAACTTAGTTTCTAGGTGGTCAACATGCATTAAGTTCTCCCAAATCATAGTATTCCATGTGATGCACACCTAACATGCCAAAAATGTTGCTGAACGATTTGAACCGGACAGCAGACGAAAATGCGTTTACAAAATAAAAATAGTTCGGTAGCCAATGGAAATATCATGTTCATTTGCATAACAGCCTTGAAAATACCAAAAACATTATTGCATGGATGATATGCAAATTAGTTTTAGTTTAAATAAGTGACTGCCTAAAAGTACCATTACTGTTGTTCAAATTTCATTCCCTTCGGCAAGTAACTTCATGTACCCCAAGAGAAAAATAGTACTTTTAAATATTGTTTATTTCTGCTATATTTCAAAAAACGGTACCCCTGAAGGGACTACTTTGTTTGCTCTCAGACCTCATTTGCATATGAGGTGTGGAAATACCAATTTTGATTTCTGGGACGAATCAAAATAAACTGCAGTACATATGTAATAATATTTTTTATTTACACCTGCATCACATCCACAGTTTGTGAACTCATAAATAGTGCCACTATTCATCTATAAGCAATCATTTGTAACTGCATGCTTTATTAGTTGATTTACACTGAGCTGCTATGTTCATAACTACTAGTTATATATATTACTAAAATGTACCTATTTCACCACCTTTTATTAATACTGTATTTGTTATTACAACATATTTTTTTTTTTTGGGGACAGGACTCTTATCTTGGTCAGGTGATAACCACAATGATGTCTTACACCATGGCTGGTAACTTTACTATTAGGCTGTATGCACAGTCAGCATTGCAGAAAATTTGGACCTATTGTGATCACATGAAACTAACACATATACTAGACAGGTATCCTGGTATCAAAACATGTGTGAATTTCCTGGAGAGTAGTAGGTATGTGTAATTTATTGATTTTATATTTACTACCATCACTGTGAAGGGCTTACTGATGTGTGGTTTAATGGTTTGCCTGTCTGCCCAGCATCACAGACTGAAATTAAGAGCACATACTGCCCTCTTTCCAGGCTTGGCTCATTCAGGGTTGGGAAAATGACGTCCTGTGTGGCTGTTTCTATCTAGAATGCATGTTAAAATTTACAGTATTTTTGTTGCAATGAGTAACGATTTACCGCGGGATGTCTTGAACTTAACCTCATCCCAGATCTGTGATTGGGTTCTTTGCCTGTTGATCGACGTAATAAATAAAATAAAATGATGTGCACATTTTTGTTTCAAAGTGTAAATGGAAGCCAGTTGAATATTATGTCTATGTGTCAGGTTTCTATCAAATTAATTAATCAATGAATGTTTTGATTATACACTATCAGTAGAGTAGATTCAACTCTGTAATATAATATTTATTATTATACATCTTTCACTCTACCACCATAAGTTACTGTGTGCTGTAATGTATTGTACAGAGTATCTGAATCCTGCCATATCATTTTCAAATATATTAACGAAAATACATCATTGAAAGTGTTGTACCGGACCCAATTACTAGTATATAGATTTGATGTTATACCTTGTTTGTCATCTTACGTATAGAGTCCAGATCTATCTCAATAGTTGTGTTCACGTTACACGAAGTACGGGCTAAGATTTAAGCTGATTTAGGCTTATCTAGCATATTTGCATTTCGGCTAGACCCAATTGCGTCCACGCACAGGGAGGGCCAGTCGTTAGCACGGGCTAAGGGGCGCCATTAGTCGGTGACCTTTGGTAAGCCGCTATTTACGAACGAAAAATGGATGACACGCGCGAGGTTCTATTTCTGCTGCTGGCATGTTTCGTTCTAATTTTGAAACGACGTGCACAGGAACGCGAGAGAAGACGAACCCAACTTATTTGGATGCACAGAAACAGTATACAACGGGCGTAACAGAATACAGCGTTTTATTAATGCATGTCGTAGACAGCAAACCAAATTTATTTTGTCCACGATTGGAGCTGCTGTACGCTCTACTACAGTGACCCGATTAGTGTGGAAGTGAGCGCGGAGTAATGACTGGTGGAATAGTGTCGTTATACCAACATGGGACAATTTTCACACCCAAAGGTCGCCGCAGAGGGCGCTTAGGCCTGGGCTAAGCGTTCGCGCATACTTCGTTAGCCCGTGCTAAGGTCTAGACCGCGTCTTAAATTCGGATCAGATTTAACCCGTACTTAGCATTCCTTAGCCCGTGCTAAGCGTTCACGCACGTTTTCTTAGCACGGGCTAAGGAATTTGACCTCTTAGCCCGTGCTAAGGAGCTGTGCGTGAACGCAACTAATATATACATACCTTATGAATTACCCGAAACTATCCAATCCAAAGTGTAAATATGTTTTATACCATACCAGCTAGAAATATTTCATGCTAAACATCAAATCTGTGAACAGTATGTACCATGGTGATGTGATAATGATGATATATTGAAACAGGTGGTTGCTCATGTATAATTCTTAAATTGATTTATAAAAAACATTAGATATTTCATTTTCAAATTCCATTGAATAAACATATTTGCTTACTAAAAAACATATGAAGTTTAGGTTCATGTTGAATTCCAAATCACCTAATAGTGTTAGACGTATTATATTATTCATGTATTGTATTTTACTAGTCATGCTGGAAAACTGAAAGAGAGATTGCTGGGAAACTATCTTTTTTTTAAATTTGACCCAATACAAGACTACAGTATAGAGGTGAGCACCAACATTGCCTTACATGTATTTTAGATTACTCTCCATACATAAAGTTATATTTCATATGATTTTCATTGAGAAGTGTATGTTTTTATTGGTTCAAGTAGCTATAAAAAATGCCCTTGAGTTCTGTTTACTTTGAGGTTGTAATTGTGTTAGGGATTACTGTGCAGTCTGTATTTGACAAGTCAGAATATGGTAGGTCATTGACCTTAGCAAATAAGGAAAACTAAGGATTTTTGTATTGTGGCAATTGTTACTTGTACCACCTTCCTGTGATTGCAACCCCAGTCTTAAAATTCCACATTTAGAGATTTTCTCAACACAGGATGTGACTTGGTAAGCTAGTGACATTTCAGATTTGTCTATATACTTTCCATAACATACTACTAGTATATTGAATTATTCCATTCATGTAGTGGGGGTGACAGCTAGAGGGTGGAACAATTTAGTTTGAATGAATGGAATCCATCAAACATAGTTGTATAGTGTTTTGATAGAATCCAATAGACAGTTACCTTGAATTAATGGTTATTGGCATCCCTTTTTTACTCCAGGGTCAATTTCAATACACTTGACTTTATTGGTGTACAGTATATTAATAATTGACATGCTAATTTCATTCTCCTTGAGTTAAGTTTTTCATGTCTAATAGAAAGAATTCAGTGCTATCAACTAACTAGTGTCATAAAACTCATAAATCTATCTCAGTTCACATTTTATAGGTTTGAATTCTCTTCTTCAGTACTTGCAAAACAAATAATTCTAATCACTTGTTTCTTTCCCTCAACTAGATTTTTCTTTTAATTTGTCATGACTTGCATTGGTTATGTTTACCTAGCTTTGCAACAGTGCATTCAATCTGGTTTGTTGACAAGCATCTGTGAGTTCATCCAGACCTCACAAGTTCAATTTCATGGCAGGCATGGTTTGGTAACCTTGTCATTGTGCCTTTGGCAGATAGTATATCCATTGAGGGAA